GCACGTAAAATTGTAAGTATAGAATCCTACTCTGAATTCTAATTGTAGGTCGTTTAAAACGAATCTTGGGGAGTGCAGTATGCCTGGGTACACATTTATATCGACGGTCTTTGAAATAACGCACATTTTTTTCGCGCGATTACTCTTGTTGAACCGAGTAATCGCAGAGCGCACACGCTACTCGTGAGAAATACAATTGAGAAGCGTTTTAAGCTAGCGTAAGATATTACACTTCTCGAAAGGCGTGTCTCAGGAAATTAACACTCGCGCAAAGCAAGAGAGGAATATTCGGATATAATAGACTTTGTCAAAAGTCGCATACGTTCTCTTGACTACGTATAATTCTTTGGTATAATTCGTGACCGACTTTGCTCCTCGGCAAAAATTTAATTGCTTTCTATTCTTCTTCGCTTTTTTACTGAATTTTAACATTAAACGCAGAGATGGCGAAATCCTCAATTAAAACTCCGTTAATTGTTCACTTAAGATTTCTTCGGAAAGATTATATTAGCTGTTTCTTATGTCCCTAATTCTTAATTATGAATTTAGCTTACTTGCTCGAAATATTTTTCAATTCTCTCGAAAATATAAGGGTACCTGTTCATATACATCTAGCTTTTGTGGTGGTAGAATAAAATTTCTGAAAATTTCTCATTTATGGCATTTTTGTCAATTCTGTCATTTAATACTTTTGATGTCTGATATTTTTTTATTTAAAAAAATATTGTATTCTGTATATGTACGCCTGCGTCTGTGTGTGTGTGCGCGCGCGCCTGTTTATATTGAAGCTGCAGTGAATGTAAAAAATAATATCGTACTGTATTTGTTTAGCGAATTATTGTCCATACAAAACTAACGTTGCTCGCGAAAATAGTTTATTTACAAAAACATTGATCTGATTAGAAGGAGATTAGAAAGCTAAAAGTGCACATATATGAAATGTCTCAGAATTAGCACTATTTTTCTTTAAACTGCGAATTTTTCGACCATTTGTTGCCGATGAAATGAATCCTGCTACATTACATTAACAAAACGTTATCTGTTGTTTAATTTTTAAACTGCTTCGGGCTGAATTTAATTCTAACAATGTTTATTAAAAATCCGTTGATATTACAAAATTGCATACAAAGTGTAAGCGTGTTGAAGGAAATTTCTGTCGGAGGGAGGCCGATTCTGTACTAAGGAACACTCGCGGATAAAAACTATGACGATATACAGCTTCGGGACGTTCCGTGCGTCGTAGGAATTTAAGAGGGGTTAAATTTGTTCGAATCCGAGATGGGAGTCGCGCGCAAACACGTATGAAATTTCCAGATATTCTCGAAGGTGCCTGACATTATCTTCCCGAGAAGGGCACCTAGTGTCGCACTGTGCTTTTGCGACACGAGCTGCAGAATAAACGAGCCACAAGCGCAACGAGAGATATTCCATGCGCGGTGGGCTGCAGTTTAAAAATGGAATTCAACTGGAAGCCGCTCTCCCCGCAAGCTGCTACCTAATTATTAATTACGCCTGGCATCGTATATCAGACCTTTATGACAAGTTAACGCGAAACTTCGAGTCGCATCCGGCGCGTAATTAAACCGGGCTCAATAAAATTACACCGCCCTGTCTTGGTGTAACGCGTCATCGCCTCGCTGTAATCCCGCATGCTTTCGTCGTCTATCGTACAATACTGCTATTTCCAACTATCCGATATAAGTTCGCCCCTTTGCAACGTTCAACCAATTATTTTCCAAAGTGTTTTCTCACCCCGATACGCGGTTTCATCTCGTACACGAGGTGTCCCAGAACCGTCGACCTTAACTTTAATGTTGTCTGACCCATTAAATTCTGATTTTGTCTGGAGAACGTTTCACATAAGTTTATTTATCGTACGTACTTTTTAATCTGTTAACACTTGCTATTAAGTATGCACTTGATAATTACAGCTCCGAAGAAATGAAACTTGTAATAAAGGGAAGAAAGTATGAATTTATTGTTCAGCGCTTAATTTTATCTTATTTGATTCTCGATATTTCGAATGCTGTCTTCTTGAATTGTTTACAATCTAAAAACTATTGATACCCAATCAAGTGAGAAAATCTGTACAATTTAATGAAAAAATCTCTAAGCGCACAATCGAAGCTGTACCAATATTTCCGCCATTTTTCCACGAAAGGGCTGTTGGGTATCTGCACAGAAAAAAAAAGTGTCAGATCAACGCTTATATACTCAAATTAACGCGTTTATTGGCTTGCATATACGCAACAATCTATAATTTTCTTAGAAGCATTTAATATCTTACATTCCAACTATATTACAGTCTTATTTAAATACTATAATCGTCACTTTAAGAATACATATAATTATTTTGACAATAAAATAAATTATAAACTTCGATTTGAAAATGTTATTTTCTATGTAATATTGTTTCCTTTCAAGAAAATTATTCTTAAATAATAAGCGTACATTTTTCTTGATTGAATTATATAAAATTGCTTCATTCAAAAGTAAGGTTTTCTTCCTTTAACGCAATAAACTCACATTTCAAGATTTTCACAGGAAGAATATTCTTTTTTTCTGTGTGAAGAAGTGAAATTCATACAAAATTTGATGATAAAACTATGATTTTATTATTTAGTTACATATTCCCAATTTTTCGTACGTGAAAAATATTCTTTATGTTTGATCGATTGTCAGTCAAAAATTTGATAATTTTAACATCTCGATTTATAAGTGGAATTGTTTGCACACTTTGATGAAAAATCTCGGAACCAAGTAAGGTCGGAGGAAGTCAGTGGCCATATATAACTTGAAAGAATGAAAGAGTTTGTTATACATTTAATATGGGCTGTAATATTTCTTGAGCGGAGCTGAAAATTTTCGCGATTTACGATTTACGCGAAATGGCCGTGGCTAAATTATTCGTCCATACGTCACACGTCAACGTCAGTCCGGTCGTAATTAATCGAACCTAGCCATTGAGGTTTAATGCACGTGCGCGAGTGAGGGGCCGGCGATATGATTAAACGAATTGGCAATCGAGAGATCATTCAACAGTTCCCGCTGTCAGGAGACGCGGTCGGACGGGAATGACAGTAGAGAGCGTTGATTAACGAACTGATTGCAGCTAACGTAATTAATTATTACCCGCGCTAGTCCGCGCGTCGCTAGAAATTCCGCGAATAGCTCTAATCAAACGCGGCGCACGTAGTCGCTAATTCTTTAAAAATTTATTCGGCTAGCCCGATTCGAAATTCGTAGCATTCCGTGGAGAATCTAATTTTAATTGCTTGGGTGGTTATGGCGCATGATGGATAGCTAAATGGACGGATACATAAGCTTTATTGACGCTAAATTACCAAAACTTTGTTAAGCTTGTAAGGAGAGCGTCAAGTTTCTAACTCGCGGACTGAAATTTAAATGTGGTGTCAATAGCAAATAAATACGCATCTACATATTAGACTACGTTGATCTAGAAAGAATGAATTAAAATCCTAATTAGAGAGCGAGAGAGGGGGGAATTTAATTAAACTATTTAAATTTAATTTTAACTGATTAAATTAGTTGAGAGTAAAAATAAACTTCCTAAATTTTGTACATTTTAACTCATCAAATTAGTTTATCTAAAGTTAAATTTAGCACACATCTTTTTATTCGCAGAGAGTTAGAGATTCGTTATACACTTCGTATTTATTGTATAATTGTTAAGATTGCAATAATAAAGAAACTTATTTTGTGAAAACATTTCTAATAAGACAACTCTGAAATGATGAAACATGCTTTCGTTTACATAAACGTTCGTCGTACAAAAGTTACTAAATTCTTAACTTCATAAGTAAATGATAATTTTTCGTCAGTTTTCAGCATGACTGGAAAAATGAATTTTACTTGTCGTCTTGGAAAGTATATAAGTAAAATATTTGCCAATTTATTTAAGGCAACAAGGAATTTCTTTAAATTACTTACGTTTTATGCGAGCATTTGTGAATTCGACCTAAAAATGTATTTGCACACACATTTGCAAAAATGTAACTGTATTTATAATTGCTTAAAATGTCACGATATTTCTATTTAAATATTTTATCCGAGAATTTAATTAATTCGTTGAACAATAAAACATCAAAAATGTTAACCATTTGAGGCAAATAATAATCCAGTCGATTGTGTTTACCGCGAAAAAGCGAGGCTTGTATTTTGGTTAATTATCGGAATTACGCTAACGAATGCAATTATCGTTACGTTATGATGGAAAATTTATGAGATGGAAAAGCGTAATGAAACATGACGTGACCAAAGTGTAATCGCGAATCGCGTAAAATATAATATCGACTATTTTATCGCATTCGTCCCGTCTTGCACGCATTTTACGTAACAATTGGCGCCCATAAAATGCTCGTTCTTACACGGTATTTACATCCACTAGTTTAGGGTAACTGTATCATATACAGGGTGTCATGCAATGACTGAATCAGCCGAAAAATTTAGATAGAGCGAGACAAACTGAATCGAAGAGTCCTGCGTCATTTTGCAAAGTTCACAATAGTTTTCGAATAATAAATAAAGACGTCTGGGCGAATGAACGCACGAGAAGCGGTAGGCCGGACTTGGCAGACATGCTAAATGTCTTATTTGTATAGTCTCGTAGCAACGGTGGGCGGGAGGTGGAGCGACACACCGAAAAAAAGTTGTCATGCAGCGAGCGACGAGCTTCAGATGATGCTTACCGCTCGCCCCTTATCTACGAGACTAAACAAAGAAGCCATTTAATGTCTACCGAGTCCCGGCCTACTGTTTCTCGTGCGCTCATTCGCCGAGACGTTTTTACTTATTACTCGAAAACTATTGCAAATTTTGCAAAATGATACAGGACTTTTCGATTCAGTTTGCCTCGCTCTATCTAAATTTTCTGGCTGATTCGGTCATCGCATGACACCCTGTGCAATAACAGATATTGATAGGTATGTGCGTATGTGTGTACGTGTGTATATCCGCGACGTACATGTCTCATGTTACAGGGACTCGCTAACGCGAACAGATACGACGACAAGCATCTGATGAGCAACGAAGTCACGGACAAGGCACAGCCACCGTTGAAGGCGATGTACAACGTGCAGTCGCCATCCAGAAATACGGATTGCCCGTCGTCGTCCAAGCCCGCGATGGCCAACCGCCTCCTAGACTGGTTCTCCGTCGTGATGGCGGACTCCAAACATCGCCGTCAGCATCCCAAGCCTAAAGGTATAGGAAAACACACGATACACAAACGCGGTTTGCGAGACAAATACAATTGTTTTTTTTTTTAAATATAGTTGTAAACGAAATTTCGGCATTCCCTTTTATCGGAAATTACGTTGTCGAGTCTCGAGGTTCTCGTTGAGCGAAATCGGGCTACGCGGTTGTTAAACATCTCGCGTTTCACGGGGCGCGCACCCCGTGTCGACCTGCGAAAGTCGCATTAAGCAGCCGCACGGCGCGCACAACCGCGGAATGCGCTTGGAGCGCATTGAAACGTTTTCCGCGGGGCGTGGAACCGAGGGAGGGTCCTCGTGGGGTACAAGGGAGACTAATTGTCCCCGCAGAAGTGGACGGACACGGGACACTACTCATGGTAGTTGCCGAAGTACCAACAGCGCGCACGCCATTCGACTTGGAGACAATCAGTTTCGTACCCAGTTTCGAAATTGTCCCGGTACAATGAATCGTTTCCCGCCCCGGGTACGTCGCGATTACTTTGGGCGGTGCTATCTGTCGATATTGTCCTGCCCGGTACCCATGTTGATCTTACGGTATTACATCGCTCGGGGTAAAACAAAGTGTACTGTGCGCGTAGCTCCGCAGCCGCGACGATCCCGTCTGAATCAAGAGGGTGGTTTGACTAACCATCCTCGGACCACAAACGGGAGAACGGAGATTGTGACGATCGAAGAGGGCTTGAGGACCGACCGTCTACATTCCGGACGAGTTATCATTTTATTGTAATTTATTTCTTGCGTTTGGCATTGTACGAAAAACAATGTACGGTAATATATTCAGTGGATAAGAAAATCTCTCCCGCGCTAACTTAAAAAGTACCCACAAAAATACCGAACACAAAGACAGATAAAACTTGTTAAAAAAAAATAGAGAGTTGCATTAAAAAATTGAAAACATAATTTAGAATGAAAGTACAATATTCTTTTATGACATGAAGTTACAATAAACGTTTGGTAGTCGTGTAACAAAATGAAATTCTTAGAATGTAAAATATACGGCCGTGCCTATTGTATGGAAATATGTTATACATTTTTATACATGCATATCTAAGAGTATCGTTGCATCCAACGATTTCAGGTCACTTCCCAATCGGTTGTCAGAGCGAGGTCAGGTGGATGTTCGGGCACTTGGACAGCGACAGCGACGGCCGACTCTCACTCTCCGAACTGTACGGCCTGGAGCACGACCAGAATGAACCATGCTTGAAGCCCTTCCTGGATAGCTGCGACACCGACAGGTAAGCGTCATCTGCGAATTCCCGTTTCGCACGCGAGGAGAGACACGTTTCGCGATTGCACCCGCGTACGTACGATCGCGTCTAACAATGAGACTTGTACTTGGAGTTCCCGCTGCGCTCGTGTCTCGACAATGGACGAACGGCAAGTGAGATAACGTCGATCGATAAGTTCTGCGATAGCGCGATACACGGGCGTGTTCTTTCAAATGTTCTGAAATTACAAGTACGAGATATAAGGGTTGCTTCTTCGATTCGGAAGAATAGGAAATGAAGATTTGTAACAACTTGCGCGATCGAATTGTTAATATTTCTCGAAAAACATAAAGGGATACGTGGAGATAACAATTTCGAATATAATAAATAAATCGCATGTTATTATAATACGGAAGTACAGTGCTATTCATTAATGCTTGGACCTGCATTTTGATCGTCATTTTTCTCACGAATCACCTGAGTTCCAGGTTGTACGTATGTACAGTGATGGACAGAATGGTCGCGACACTTTTTTTTTTAGTGAGTTTAAAAACGCGCATTTAGATTCAGGTTTATGTTCCAAAACATTTTCACCGAGGAAAATTTTACTCGAGAAATGGACTGAAAACTAAAACGGGAAACTTTGTAGTCAACCCAACTGGCATATTCCATTATTTATTTATTTAGTACTGAATAAATAATGGAATATGCCAGTTGGGTTGACTACCAAGTTTTCCGTTTTTAATTTTTAATCGTCACTGGTGACTATGTAAGTAACTCGTTTCTTCGTAGATTGAAAACGCTCAAAATGGTTTCGGAATGGCCGTCGAGTACAATATTCCCAAAATATACCTAAAAAAGTGTCGCAACCATTCTGTCCATCACTGTACTACCACAGACTTCTATAGAAGTCTGCGTGTACTACAGCCTGAAACTCATCGATGGGAACAAAGATTGGGAAAATGTGAATCCTATAGTAAAACTGAGGTCCAGGCATTAATATACGGTCGGTCTGACTAAACTCACGACGTTACTACTGCGTCTGCGTTCGTTGACCACTGCAGTAGATACGGTTCTTTTTAGTGACGTATCGGAAGATGTTTATTAATTTCTATATTTTTTATTTTTAAACATTGTATTAGTATCGCTTAATATTTTATATTATCTATCTATCTAATTACATTATTCTGCATTTTAATAACGTTAATTTTTTATATATTATTCTCAAAATTTCTGACATCGCACAAATACACGTATTGTCTTCGCTTCTTGACTGCTGTTATGTCAATGTATTTTATTAATATTATTATTTATTTAATGCAACAACCCCCACGGAAAAATATATATTTCATTATGTAGTAAAGAAAAGCAGAAAGGATACATTCGTTTTTGGTATATGCGTTATAAGAAATACATGTATATACTATTATAAATGTAATACCAATAAATTGGAATTTTTCATATACCATTCATATGTATTAAAAATATATAATAAAATGTATGATACATATATACATTATAATAATACATAGCTGTGTATATAATTATGTACGTCTAATGTATGCATTGTATATTTTTTATATTTTATCATACATTTTATATGAAAATATTAAAAGGAATAATACATTAGGTCTTCAAGTATCTTAAAATTTAGGTCCTCAACGCTTTACTCCAGCGGAGATCAAATTGATTTCATTTGCCACAGCTGTTAGATCTGATTTCTCGCCGCTTCTTATATACTGCTGTTGGTTGATTTTTAAATACGAGAAAGTGTAACGTGCGATCGCCGCTTCGCGAAGAGCGTTGTTGCGAAATTATAAAAATATATTTTAAATATTGTTCGTATATTTCACATACATTTTTAGTATATTTCTGACATATATAATTATATTATATACGATTAAAAAAATTTTTTTATATAACAAATGTATGAAATACATTACCATATATTTTTGCACCTACTTTTTGAAATATATATTTTCCCGTGGAGAAATGATCTAAACTCTTACGACACAGTTGTTATTGTATCAAAATAAAATTCTCAAAGATCAAAGAGAGAACAGGAGAGAACATATACACTACGCCATATTTCCGTTATGTTTCCAGCGACATTTTCGTGAGCGGACCTGAGTGGTGTGGATGCTTCTCTAAGGCCGAACGTCCGTGTGCCGCTGTGCGCAGACGATCATCGCCGGATTCTGCACCCGCCTGCGATTCGCGAGGATATTACCGCAGCACCCAGTGCCACCGTGGCCTTGGTCTCTGCTGGTGCGTCGATCCGCACGGCGTCGAGTTTGCTGGTACCAGAGCGCGCGGCGCGAAGCCGGACTGCGGTATGTTTCACATCAGCAGCGCTTAATGGATGATAAATATCTGGAAGTAGTAAAATTAGTGAATGATTTCAGCGCGACAAGAAGACGTAACGGGACAATTTATAAGAAAAATTTTAATTCGGTATCACACATCAGATTTAAACGTGGTGTCCGGCAATAAAGTGGTTGAAATACAAATATACCTTTTCTTTCTAAACAGCCCAGTAATATTTTGACTGGAATTCCAATTCGGATTCGTCTTTCTGCAATTTTCAAAGATTACATATCTCGATAACATGCAATTAAATTTAAAATGGAGAAATATCTTGTCTTAAATTTAAATCAAGAGTAAGATTTTGTTACCTCTGTGTAAACTATAATTAGCTAAAATCAACCGCAGCTTGAAAATAATTCGTCTATATTTTTGTCTTTGGTAAGCGATAACTATTTTAACAAACGATATCACCGTGTTCGCTGAACATTACGTTCATTGCTGTCTCAGTTTAATAGCAGAGCTGTAGTTATTTTGAAATTGAAGATGTATATAGTGTCACATATCCTTATCAAGTGTACTCATCCCTGAATTGGCTAAACTGCATTACAGACGCGATTGTGAACAAGATCAGCAGCGGTGGACTCAAAACCAACAGTGTGGATCTCGACGACGATGAGGACGGTGGTACCGACTCCGCTCAGGATCTTGAAGGCTCAGCCGATCAACCTCTAGATTTTTAGACACGTTAGGGGCGGCGGCCGTCAACGGAAGCGCGGTATCTTCAACCAAGCATCTAAGAGCAGAGAACCGATCGCACAGTCGAGATCGTGGGAAGGTGCGCGCGCGCCTCCGCCGGCTTCAGGAACACCGCCGAGTTTGTGATCGGAGGTGTCCTGTGTCGCCGTTTGGCCGCCTGTCGATTCTGTCGAGGTCGCGGTCCACGCGCGACGAAACGAAACGTGAGCCTAAATGAGTTCCGAGAGCAACGAAAAAGCACGACGATCATTAGTTGCGGGAAGGTCCGAATCGCATCGGAGATCGTTGTCGAATCATCGTAACGACCTTAGTCGCGTCCTTCGTCCCAATTAGGAAGTTCCGATCAACACTAAAGTAGCAAGTGTCTTGCCATGTCGTGCAATAATCGCGTATGTCCAGCGGCAAGCGGCGTCTACAGTCTACGCAATCGTAGATCCCGTGCAATCCGTAATTCCGTGCAATATCCAATAGAGTCCGTGTAGAGAGTACGCAGATATGGCCGAAAGTGTAACGAGGATACGTGTGTGTGTGTGTGCGCGCGCGAAAGAGAGAGAGAGAGAGAGAGAGAGAGAGAGAGAGAGAGAGAGAGAGAGAAAGAGAGAGAGAGAGAGAGAGAGAGAGAGAAAATTGCTGACGGGGTGAGAAAATTCCGCTGCGAGCCGCGCTGAGCACCGACCGTTGGATTGCCTCCGTGCCTGTCGAGGTATCTCCACGCACAATTATGTCTATAAATAATGCAATTGCGTGTCGTTCACGCATACAGAAAGCTGAAGGAGAAAGAGATTTGCGAAATGAGGATGGGTCGAAAGCGAAGCGACGTAATTTCGTCGTGTCGACCAGAACTCACGTACGCGACCCAAGTCACGCTTAACGGAAAACCACAGGTGAAAGAAACCCCATAAGCGTATGATTTCTAATCACTAGATTAACAATCGATTGTAACGCTGAAACATAATGTAAACTGTGAATCACGTGGTAACGATGCGGCAATTGAACGAAATTAAATCGGTCGAAGAGAAGAGACACGGGAGCGGGGAGAGGAGACGAGCGGATGTGAAGTCATTCTGCTACTGTCACACTTGCGCACGCTGAAACTTAGTTGAATCACTCGAAGCAAATATAGGTTTTTCGTAGCTCTTGCCACTTCACTTTCGGCTGTGTTTCGCCGAACGCGGTATAGAGAATCTCGCCGTTATTCCGCTTATTTATTACATTCTCTCGCGGGCAAGATCATGTGTTTTTTTTTTGGTAGTTTATTCTTCCTTTTCTCACAGCCATCTTGCGTTGTAAAATTACTATGGCATACGGAATAAAGAACGATCTATTTCGTACTCGTTAATAATCAATTTCACACTACGCAGTTCAATCACGATCGTAGGACGTCGAGCTGGTTGTTAGGAGGCGAGAGATCGCTTATAAAGATAAGCGCGCGAAGTATTATTATTACTCTATTATACGTTGCGCGACTCGATTCGCATAGAGTTATGCATTACGATTCTTTGCGTCCGCAATCGGAACGACATCCATCGTGCAATGCTGAGAGTTGTTTTCTACGAAGCTAGAAAAAAAAAATGTTCGACGTCGTGATTCGTCTGCATTTACTGTAATTATAAGCATTTTTACTTACAACTTTTACTTAAAGAGTGTGTGGTACACCGTAGATATTAGAGATAACATGTAATCCGTAGAGAGAAAAAAAAAGAAAAAAAAAGATCAGTGTGACTATGTGAATATGCCCCTAGCGTTAGAAGGCAATTTACGTAGAGATAGCCGATACAAAAACTACACGTGTCTCATTTAGAACGAAAGTGACAATTCATTTTGCAAGCCTAACGCGTTTCACACTTCGACATGCATTCCTTCTACGAAGTATTCAGGGAAAACAATACTCGTCGCGTATCGATCAAAGACAACATTGTACGTACTGAAACTTTTGAATATGTCAAACTCAATGTACATTTTTATCTTTCCTTTTCTATCGACGCGTTTTACTTCGATGACTCACGACTATGGCAATCCTTGTGATTTCATCAACTATCGAGTTTCATAACAAATTGTGCACCCTTATGTATATTTTGTTCTCCTATTCAAAAGGTAACTTGATATCGTTTTGTCAGTTCATCCATAATGTCTTGCCTTAATGGACATGGCGTGTTAAACTTGCGCATTAAAGTATGTAGATGACACTTGAAATATATCTACATATTTAATTGATAAACGACATCGTCCGCAATGAGCTAACGCATATTCCTTCCTGCATCGAGCGCAATTTGCATTCCGCCTGACTTATTGTACTGTCGACCTAGACTAATTAATATAACTACAAGCGAACGTAAAATAGTTTTATCGAGTCTTGCATATTGTATATATATGATTATATACAATGAAAATCATCGTCAATGATCTTCGTACCATGATGATTTTTGTAAGGTATGCACTTGATCAAAGCGTAAAGAATTTTTACTTCATTCAAGAGCTACCGTAAATATCTTACTTAATCGGTATTGTACATGTGGCTGTAAGAATTCTTTATGAATAAAGATTGTTGTAGAAATCGGGGCGATGTTCTTCTGAGCGTGGTAACTAGCTTAATATCAAATTTATTTATTGTTCTTTTCAGAAAATCAATACAAATTTGTAACAAACAAGTCAACGCATCAGCGTAAGGGGACAGTGTATGCATAGTACAACTAGTAGATCCACTCTCTGTCGGTCCCTTTGATCTTTACGGTCCCGATCACATGGTATTCCACCATGTCTTTGGTCCAAATCCAACGACGTATGTACGTGTGTTAGTGTAGCTTTGATTTCTCTCATTCATCATCATCATCACCAGCTCTACAGCCCCAAGTGGGCCCTGGCATTCACAACAAATTGCCTTCATTTCACAGTTCAATCCGAGGTTTATTGTATATGTATTCGCAACAGTGAATTTTTACGGTGAGGGGTTGTTAGCCTCTCGCCAACCCCCTTTTCGGAGGAGAAAGGGATATGTGTGGCAGAATACTCTCGGTGGTTACTACTTTCCTTCGAGAGGCAACGTTCGAAAAAATCAGTGGTGGTCGTGGATTTAAACTCGAATCTTCTCGTTCATTTGTTTACTAAGCAGCGCAGATTTCTCTCCTTGACTGGACAAAATGTCGACTGTGCAGGACTTGACGCAAAACGAAACAAATGACGGAATGGACCTACTAGTTATACTATGGTATATATTCATATACGTAGCGTATACATATTGCTATGCATTTTAATTTTTAATAAATTGCGACGCTGGTTCTCTCTCAGTAGGTCGCATCCTTGCAGCGCGAGACAGAAAACCGTACCTTTACATTGTAAAGACAGCTCTCAAACTGCAACAGAAACACATCGTTTTCACCAATCTGATAACAATAATAAACCGGTTATACAATTATATATAGGTTTGTCGAGCTAAAGTGCATCCATGTTGTATGCACAGTAAAGCTTACCAATCCCCTGAGTGTAGTATATCGAAACCAGAGTTGATTTTTTCAAATGGAAGTTCATGCGTGATAAATTCCTCGAGGGGCAATTGCTTCGACATATACTCCTCCACTAATTTTGGTACGCCGTCCTTCGATTTCCATCCGCCGAAGGCGCATCCTTTCCACACTCGTCCTGTGATCAAATTGAATGGTCTAGTACTGACCTCTTTGCCAGCCGCGGCTACGCCTATCACTACGGATGTGCCACCCCCTCTGCGGCAAGATTCGAATGCTTCTCTCTGAAAGGATAATTCCTGTAAGGCGGAATTGCTTCCCGCGAAACAAAAACGAAAGTGACAAATACGTACCATGGTCTTTACATTTCCAATACACTCAAAAGTATAGTCTGCTCCACCGTCAGTCATATCGAATAACTTCTCCGGCATAGTTTTACCGGGGTTTTCGTTGGGATTAACAAAAGAGGTGAGACCGAGAAGCTCAGCTGTAAACAAGTATAAAAGTATTCATCAAATTTTATCACTCTTACAGGAAAAAAAGAAATACTTCTTTCTGCAAAAGATTGTCTGCTACAATTTTCTTAACGTAATTTACCTTTCTTCAATTTGTTAGCATTGGTATCTATCCCGATAATCTGGGAGGCGCCGGCTTTCTTGCAACCAAAGACTGCTGCGAGACCAACAGCTCCTAATCCCCATACGGCACAAGCACTTCCCGGTTCTACCTGGGCAGTATTTAAAACCGCGCCATAGCCCGTAGATACCCCGCAACCCAACAAGCACACCTTGTCCAGCGGTGCCTTAGGGTTAATCTACGACAGTAATGTGTAACAATATAAATGCAAAATTATTGGATGGTAAACTCAGTTTTCCGCGGTGTTTTTTGTTTAACTCATTTATTTCGATATCAAAAGCGAAAAATACATCAAAGTATTTGCCCTCGTTAGCTATACATTCTTCCCATCTTTCTGGCAACGAGTGGATTCCGCAGCGATCGAACGATTGGTCTTTTGACGCAATCCATTCATCGATCCATTTTCGCACATCCTCGTAATTTTTCGAGTGTGTGTCCACCAAGCCGCGCTGCATCGATCGGAACAAGTGATAATCTGAAGGAGCCAAGTCTGGTGAATACGCTGGGTGCGGGAGAACTTCCCACTCGAGCTGCATCAGCGTTTCCTTGGCGGCTTTTGCAACGTATGGTCGAGCGTTGTCGCGCAAAAGATTAACTTTGCGTCGATTGCTGGCTACTGCTGGCCTTTTTTCCCAACAATGCTTCATTCAGGGCGTTTTCCAGCGAGGACACAGTGTAACACAGTGAACCGTTTCATCCTTTAACATTGGCAAACAACAAGGATGTAATGATTCACAGTGTTACATTGTGTCACATTGTGTCCTTGCTGGAAAACGCCCTCAGACGGTTCAGTTCTAATTGATGTCGATCCCCCGTGATACTTCCGTTCGGTCTGAGTAGCTCGTGGTAAACGACGCCTTGCAATTCAGTGTCTTCCAACTTTTTCGGCTGACCCGAGCGTTGTTTATCATTCACATTAAAATCACCACTTTTAAATCGCTGAAACCATTCTTGGCATGTTCTTTCCGACGGAGCACAATGGCCATAAGCTTCGACAAGTAATTTATAAGCTGTAGCTGCAGTTTTTTTTTCAAATCAAAGTAATGAAGCAGCACATGTGGAAAAAAACAACTTGTCACGTTCCATATTTAATCAAAAGACAAAAACGGCACTGTTCGCTTAAATGAATCTTTTCGCACTGAATTTTATTGACAGATGTCTATCCTTTAAGATGCAGCCGGTTTCAGATGTCAAAGTAAATTACACTTGCAACCAGCGTCGTCCAAATGTGAGCCGGCAGAAACCAAGTGTTTACCACCTAATATTAAAAGCTTTATTATTAAAAACTATGAAATTATACGTAAATACCTTTACGAGGGAGATGTCAGCCACCACTGTATATTCCGAGAAGGTGGAGCAACCCATGAAATGGTAGACTGTTTGTCCCTTACACGTGAAACGACTTGTCGAGTCTGGCATCAAGCCCAAGCCCTGGGTGCCGCGGATTTTATTGCATAAATTCGTTTTCGGTGACTTGCAGAATCTGCACTCCCTGCATTGAGGGGTGTAGAGTAGCACAACGTGGTCGCCTACAATCGTTCGTGTAAACAACAGTGAATGGGAGAAACGTCAGCCGGGTGTGATTCCGACTTAATTGAAATGTGACTGTGACGTAATTCAACAAGGGTTCTGATGAATGTAACAAACGCCAGTCTACCAGGCTGAAACTCGGTGACACCCTCGCCGACGCTCTCCACGACACCAGCGCCTTCGTGGCCGAGTATACAGGGGAACTTCCCTTCTGGATCCGCTCCGCTCAGAGTGTAAGCGTCTGTGTGGCAGAGCGCAGTGGCTACGATTTGGACTCGGACCTCGTGCGCCTTGGGCGGTGCTACCTCAACCTCCTCCAAGGACAAAGGCTCCCCTTCCTTCCACGCTACCGCAGCCTTGCATTTTATGGCCTAAAAGCAACAATGATATAAATTTAACACGGCTGTTATACATTTTCCAATCATTTTCGCAAGGCCGTGTCTCGATTTTACGCAGTTTTCGGTTTTTGTCTTAAACACCCGTTAAAATCCACTTGGGACCAAAATGAGCGTTTAAACGGAAAGAGATCAGCCGGTATGTTATGCAGCGCTGTAAAGCGAGAAAGAAAAAGCGAAAGGGGGAACCGCAAGTGAGTTTACAGGGCGAAAATCTTAATAGTCTTCAGCATAGTTTGCACGAGTGCTTCACTATTTGAAAATAAACTACAATTCGACATATAAGCCTTCGTTTGCTCCCGTTTTGTTGACTCGTCGAGTCACGTCGAGTGTCGACTAGCGCGCAAGTGTCGATCGACGACATAGAAAAAGCGAAAACGTGCAAACTCGCGAAAACAAGCGAGAGATATCGGTACCTTTCCAGCCGTGTCCGGCATTATTCTTCGGCGTTTTCTCGTCCCGTTCGTATCCACAGAACCGATCCGGAGTCGGACCGAGAAGGAACCTAATCCGTAAACTCGCGAACGAACAAGTCAACGGCTACGAGCCACGGCGAACGACGCTCCCACTCGTCGGACGGTCCTACTGCGACTGCGCGAGTGCGAGAAATACTATTCATTGGTCATTTCAGATCGCGAGTATATCGCGCGACATTTATGACCTTAAAGTCCTGCTTCATCAAACGTCGCTTAACTTTAATCTTGCAATTAGTTGAATTCATGTTTGTCTCTTTCTAGAGTTAAAGTTGGAAGGAGACAAAGAACGGATTAAGCTAAGCTTAAAGTTAAACCGAACTCCCGTTTAATTTAAACGTAGGAGAAAAGTAAAAACACTTTTATTATACAAATCGTACCCAAGCTATCGATTAAGCGCAGTCTCAAGTTCGTCGGATCAGCCGTTGTTGAGATCCGAAATTCTGAGGGCCCGTCAACTCGCGTACTCGCGTAAACTACACGGTCGGTGTCGCGCGCGTGGTTTAGTTTGTCGCTTATACTTGGCGCGAGACACTGTGTCTCGTGATAGTTGATTAACGCAGCTAACACAGAGAGTTGCTAAGGGCCGGAGCAGAATGGCTGGTACTCTTAAGACAATGTTTTATGTCTTAAATCTTTGCCTTAGGGCCTGAGCAGAATAGCTGTCTTGTATTCTTACGTCACCAGACAGTTAGGCTGATGACAGAGAACAATCCGTAAACGCTTAAGACTGTCTCAGTCGTAGACGTAGGGCAAGGCAGAGAGAAACGTAAATCGTATACAATAGCCTTTCACGACTTACGTTTCTCTCTGCCTTGCCCTACGTCTACGACTGAGACAGTCTTAAGCGTTTACGGATTGTTCTCTGCCATCAGCCTTAGAGTCTGAGCAATGACTGTCTTGTACGCTGACATCCCGAGGAGAAGAAAAAGTCAGGATGATGTCAATTTGATGTCATATTGACCTAATTTATGTCAAATTTTGGTCAACGTGGCATCAAATTGACCAAAATTTGACATAAATTAGATCAATATGACATCGAATTGGCATCATCCTGACTTTTTCTTCTCATTGGGATAAGACAGTTATTGTGCGTTACCTCAAGACAAAGGCTTGAAACGTAAAATATTGTCTTAAGGCTGTCTTGCATTCTTAAGTCATAAGACAGTGATTGCGCGTTACTTTAAGACGAAGATTTAAAACGTAAAACAATAGGCTTGTTTTCTGTTCTTACACTGGTGAACTAGTGCAATAAATCAGAGTAAGACAAGCATATTTTTTCTCATTCTAGTTTACTGCACTAGTTCACCAGTGTAGGAACAGAAAACAAACCTGATGTCTCAAGAGTACAAGGCAGCCATGCCATCTGCTCGGGCCTTTACTCTCGCTCTCGCGGAGCTGATATAAAGGCCATAAAGGGTGAAAGGCCTAATTCTGATGTAACAAAATACATTCGTTATGCAAGCGCGGTATCAATGCCACGATAACGCGTATCGGTGCAATTTTTCTCTCCCTGGCTATTAATAGTTGCGATTTATGTTTATCACATGAGAGCCTTATGAACTTAATTCATTTCTTCTTCTTCTTCTTCCTCGTGTATTAAGGCTTAAAGCCTATTTTATTCAGTTGGTTCTGGTACTTTGAGCACTTTGGTTTTACTTCATCTTCGGCAAGCAGCTAATCTTGCCGAAAATTAATGTGTTCGTAATATTATTAACTTGATGCGCATACAAAGTCGCGAAATTTAGATGAGACTACTCGAACTCAAGGATGACTTCCATCGGGCTCATCGTCAGATTATTTTCATCCGCGACTAATTCACATGACAGAGCATCTCTTCCTGCAAAGTTTTCATAATAATAATATTAAGGTCCAGGCTGAAACCCTGGCTGAGGGGTAATATCTTTCGCAATCAATTTAAAATAAAAATTATTTGGACACTTAACATCCTGTCGCGGCTCTTTAGTCCTTATTCCTTTGAATTTATGTTCATCACATGAGAGCCTTATGAACTTAATTCATTTCTTCTTCCTCCTCGTGTATTAAGGCTTAAAGCCTGTTTCATCCAGTTCGTTCTGGTACTCTGAAGCATTTTGGTTTTACTTCATCTTCAGCGGGCAGCTAACTTTGCCGAAAATTAATTTGTTAATAACATCATTAACTTGATCGCGTGTGCGTACAAAGTTGTTGGATGTCGGCGAATTGGGCAATTGCCAAAAGCATAAAAAGAAGACGAGATATCGGTCGAGCTACTGCTACGATGTCAATCTGCGTACGAACGGGCAAACGTATCGGCCAAACTGGAGAACTCACGGAGATCATAGATTACAATTCAATGTTATTATAATTTACATATAAAAACATGATTTCCGCATGATTATTACAACTCATACATATACATATGTACATCACAGATAAAGATAGTATAACGAAGCGAACGCTAATGTAAAACGAATCTACGCGAGCGAGAAGGACGAGCGGCTGGCTATTCTAACGGCCTGTAATACATAATGTAAAATGCAAGACGCGACGCTGAGAGCACGCGGTGTGCCGAGGGCCAACGTTCGACAGACTGGAATGGCCCTCCCTTGGCCACGCGCGAGTGTCCGACTACTATCGATGGGCCTTCCTGCGCAGCTTGGGCGCGGGCAGCATCCTGACGAGGGTGACGAAGTGGGCGATCAGGTAGCCGAGCAGCGCGCCTATGACGCAGGGGATCGGCCAGGCCTGCCAGGGGCGGTCCCAGTCCAGAGGGATAACCGTGGCGCCCAGCCAGGTGCCCAGTATCGTCGCCTGTATGTTGAGCCTGAGGGCGTCCGCGAGGGCGTTGCCCCGCTGCGAGTAGGTCCCCGTGAGGATGTCCAGCGCGTTGTCCACACCCAGGTGCAGGCTGGTGGACACGAAGGTCAGCGTGACGAGCGTGACGACGAGCATCGTCGTCTCCTCGTGGTCGGTGAGCACGGGCGCGCCGAACAGCACGATCATCACGTAGTAGACGAGGGAGAGGGCGAGCGCGGTGAGCGAGAACTTGAACGCCTCCCGCAGGCTCTTGGCCCAGGTGCGCTTGGTCTTGGGCGACGCCCGCTGCTCGTGGCGGATGATCGTGGGCGCCTCCGCTTGCAGCATCGGGAACAGCAGCTTCATCACCTCGGCGAACGTGAGTATCATCAGCACGGGCAGGAACTTGTACTTGCCGACGTTGTGCAGGTTGTCGTTGAGCTTCACCAGCGTCAGGATCCCCGGCAGGTAGATGCAGGTGAAGGAGCAGTAGGACAGCAGCAGCCTCTGCTCGGCCTTGCTGCCGGCGCCCATTTGGCCGCCTCGGGATCGGCTCTTGCTCGCGTCGCGGCGGCGAGACCAGGCGAGACCGCGCGCCGGCCGGGCCTGATCGACGGACGCGCGTTTGAGGTTAGGTCGCCCGTCAGCTGACACGAACGTCACGTCCACGTCCAGCCCGGAGAGAGGACCCGAGATTACGCGGTGACCGCCTCAAACGACCGGACGTCCACGCCCCGCGGGTGCCACCATGGGTAAAAACAAGCAGGCGCAGCGCACCAAGAACAATGCACGGGTGAGCGACGATTATACGCGGTCGCGCGACTCTCGGCCGCGCGATACGCGACGATAATCCCCGACATAACCTACGAGCACGTTGTCGGGTCTGTACGTGCGTCGATTGAGTCGACGAAGTGCGATTGAAAATTGGAAATTTTGCGAAATTGCACGACGAGTCGCGCGACACGCGGCGTAAATTTTGAGAGGCAGATTCTCCCACGCGTCGAAATGGGCGAAACGGCCGCGTCGGCGGGACGCAGGGGAACGGTATTGTGCGACTCTTTAACGTGTTTCAGCCGTCGAACAGCAGCCGCAGCGCAGAACTCCTGGGGACCGCGATGCCCAACTTCGTCGGGTTCTCGGCGGTCAAGGACGGCGGATACGTTCCCGTTCTACCCGGTCTGTCTCTGTGTTCGTTGAACGAGGTCGAGATGAACAGCGTGGACTCCAGTTTTCAAGCGGTGCTGAAGAAGATGAGCAAGAAGGACGCTACGACCAAGTTCAAGGTGACTGGCCGACCGCCGGCGATCATCGTTTCCGCGCAAATTTTGTAAACTGACGTGCGTTTGCTTGCGCAGGCGTTGCAGGAGTTCACGACTCTGTGCCAGGACGCCGAATTGCCGGCGGTGGAGGGCATGCTGCCATTTTGGCCGCGGTTCTACTGCGCCCTGGCCATCGACATAGATCACAGGGTGCGAGAGGCCGCTCAGCTGGCGCACGCGGCGGTCGTGGCGCGTTTGGGCAAGGGTATAGCGATGTACCTGAAACAACTGGCCGGCACTTGGTTCACGTCGCAGTACGACGCGTATCCACCGGCGGCCTCGGCCGCCGTCAACTCCTTCAACGGCACGTTCCCGCCGTGGAAGGTCGCCAGCGCGATCGTCCATTGCCAGTGCGAGATCCTGCTGTACGTCAGCAACAACATTATCGTGCACACGGCCCAGACGTTGTCGACGCAGAAGTCCCTCACCAACGAGGAGATGGAAGCCAAGTACGAGAGAGTGCTGACGGCGAACCTGCAGGCGTACAGCTGCTACTTCAAGAAGGTGCCGCTCGACGAGATCGACAAGACCTTGGAGATTCACACCAAGATCTTGAGCAGTTCGAGGTTCTGGAAGCTGGCCAAGCACGACGCCTTGCCGATAAGGACGGCCTTCTTCAACGTGCTGACGTCGATAATGGAAAACGCGGTCAAGTTGCTGGAAGGCGACAAGAAGAGGACGGTGACCACTATTATGAATAGTCTGGACGAATCCGAGCCCGCGCTCTTGTCGGCCGTGTGGGAATCGATGCTCGTAGCCACAACGAAGATCAACGACTGGCATCTCGTCGTGAATATCAACAAGCTTGTGCTCCCGAAGCTGTGGCGCGTCTTACAGTCCGGTGGCCAGTGCTGCGCCAGCACCGTCTACCCAAATCTTCTGCCCTTCGTCAGCCAGTTTCCCAAGTTTAACATAGATCTCGCTGACATGTACACGAATTTCTTCAACAACATGCGCCAGGGTTTCTCCGTCAAGAGCGTGCAGATGAGCCGTTCGGAAACGCTCGCCGTGGCGACGTCCTTCGTCGAGTGCCTGCGTTACTCGATTCTCGTCAACGCCGACGATGTAGACTTGTGCGTGCGGCTCCTCAGGGAACAGCTTATGCCCGTCGTGGAGGCTTGCATGGCCGACGGTATCTCGATGAAACAATTCTGTCTCACCGACATCACGCATCTAATACGGTACTGGAGCAAAAATCGTACCAACGAGAAGTACAAGTCGTACGCTACCTTGATGGAGCAGTTCTGGATTGAGTTGCAGTTGTTGTTCGACAAGTTCATGAGCGCGCAAAAGGAGAGCGCGCACACCGTGGGCGCAAAAGATTCCTACTTCGAATTCTTGTTAAGCTTGAAGAATGTACCGGATCGTAAGAAGTTGAAGGTAAAATTTTCCGACCCAAGCGACTCGGCCGCCGCGAGCGAGCCGAAGGCGAAGGTCGCCGATGCTTACGCGGACACCGTTTTCCACACGGAACTGTGCAAGTTTGTAAATGCGCTCTGCACAATGTACTTCAATTCGATAAACGTATCGGTGAACGACGATCGGTACGCGGGGTATATCAGGCAGGTGAATAAGCTTATGGAGCACTTTGCGAGTAGAGAATTGTTTTGCGCGTTCTCAAAGTCGTTTAAATTCGACGAGGACTTCTGCGAATTTTACGACAAGAGCTTGAGACCTTTGTTGCTGCAAAAGTCGAAAGTGACCGAGCAGGTCCTTGAATTGATATTCCATCTTATTACGTATATGAGTGACGCGGAAAAGGACAAAGTTCTACAGTCGTTGACCGAGTTGAACGATATTGCGATCACGAGGAATGTTATATATTGCTGTTTATCTCAACATAACAAAGAGGACAGCGTGATTAAGAAATGGTATACGCATGCTGACGTGCCGAAACTGCTGGTTGATGTGGCGAAAGAAGTTGCTTCGCTGTGCAACGACGAGGGGTATAACTTGGATCAAAATCAGAATCTGATTTTGGCGGGTTTTAAAATCTCGGAAATTAGAGATTTGTTAATAAGCGAGGAGGGCGCGAATAACATTGTGTCGATTTTATGCGACTCGCTGAATGGAAGAGATGACGCTTGTTCCGCGCAATTTGTTGCATTTATTACGAAGCTGATGACTTCGCTGTGGTGCCATCAGCAAACAATATCGAGCGCTGTACAGATATTGGAGACACTTTTTGAGCTGTGCACCCGGGAACACGATGATTCAATTGCCGACGCAGTACGCACCAGCTGGAAAGAGGGATTTGTAAAAAGCAGTCGGATATTATCTGCCCTCGAGTTTGACGATCTTATTAAAAGATGCGGCGTTATTATCTGGAGCAAAATATACAATGCACGCGCAAGTTCTGTTACGGATGTATTGGTGGATTTGGCGACAGATGTTTTACAAGTTATAATCGACAACACCGGCAACGTAAAATCCCATTGCGTTGAACAAACCGTTCTGTCCTTCCTAACGGCGTCCGATATAAAATTGTGGATCGGAGAGACAACCGCTGTCGCGATATACGGCGAGGTGTTGACGGGCCACTTGTACGTGTCGAATGTCGAGAAGAATATACGGATTTTGCAGCAGCCTACGCCCATCGATATAACGAGCGATGTCGTTTCGGACAACACGGCGAGTTGTTTGTCGTGGGCCTCGTTCAACACGGATTTGCTCAATAATCTGTGCAAGAGACTGAGGGGCTCTGATCCGGAGAACAACGTGTCCTCGGATTCGGGAGAGGGAAGTTTCGAATTGAACGATTTGAATTTCCCAGGCGTCACGGATATACTGATGAATATTATATACGTGGTTAGCGTAGCTGACATGTACAGCAAGCATTACAGGTCCACCAAGCATTACAATGACGTCGACGTGCTTCGTGACTCGCTCAGGAACAGTTTCGTCACCCTGCACGGACACCTCGCGAAGAATCTTCGCGACGTATCGTCGCATGTACGAGCGAATCGGAAAAGTTACGGATGTATGCTGCCGTACATAATTCGTACGCTTTACACGGAATTTTTCTCGAGAGATCAAGCCGAGGACGCCACGGAGTATTTTGAACAGTACAGCGATAACGAAGTTGCAGAGATGCACGACGACGAAGTGCACGTGCAAATGATGCAAATCTTGAACTGTCACTGGCCACAAAATATGCCGGAAGTGTTGTCGACGCGCAACGAGATTTACACGCTGATCCTCACCAGGACTATGATATCCGAGTCTTCCAGGCACGAGCTTCCTCCGCTGTACGATACTGTTGTATACAAAGTTATGTCGCGTTACAACGATATCTTCGCGATTTTGGATCGCGACATCTCCGACACTTCGTGGGACGAATTGCTGTTGCCGCTGGAAGTTATGAGGCTGCTCACGGCAGTTGTCCAAAATATCCCGTGGAAGCTGAAACACGCCTACTGGGATTTGATCTTGATATCCCTCACAAAGTGGCAAGAGGTGCTCAACAACGCCAAGCACAATTACACTGACATTAAAACAACAACGCTGATGACGGCGCTTAGCCAATTGTACTGCGCGGTCGAAGCTGTAATGAACAAGCACAAGTCGGAGCCGATACCGGAGCTACCCCCGGCACTCGTGGACGAATGGAAGGACGTGATTGCTGGCAACGTGTACAGCGGCATTGTCCAAACCTGGATATTTTACGCCGATCTATGCAGTCAGAATACAGACGCTATAAAATCCGTCATACCACTGAATTATTTGGGCGAGGCAATTTGCACGTTCGACAGTGGCGTATCGCTCAAGAAATACGACGAGCAGACCGAAGTGATCGATTTCAACAAGATGTTAAAGCTGTCCCTGAAATTATTGCAATCTCCCGTGCTCAGTATCCAATTGGGTGCCTATTACGCACTGAAATATGTGCTACCGGAGCTTGTGCAGCACGACAAGGTTCTCGTCGAGTCTGACAACTTCGAGCCGTGCAGCCTCGATATCAGAAAATTCGAAGAAGTATTGTCGAACACGCAGAACATTGTCAACACAATGCTTATGGAGTTTAAGTAAGTTCCTGCTTTATATTGAATCCCCCCCCGCGAAAGTGTGTACTTCTGGATATACGAGGGTGAGTCAAAAATTATCTGCACTTTTCGTTCTACAATTTATTTACACAAAAATAGGGGTTCAATGTGTACACCATTTTTCAACATAGTCTCCTCCCTTGGCAATGCACTTGGTCTAGCCGTCCACAAGCTTGCGTATTCC